GGAAGAGACCGCCGCCTCGGCCGCGCCGCCGCCCCAGGTGCTTCCCCCCGTCCTCCCCTCAGACCCAAAGCATTCAAGTGCCGAAAAGGGGGTCCGCAGCTCACTTGTCTGTCAGAGACGGTGGGCTGGTATTAGAGGGGAGAGAGAACCGTCTGGAGAGCGTAATTCTGTATCTGCAGCACTCAAGAAATGCCACTTAGGGCTTGTTTAAGCTTCGTCAGGGGTGCTGCCTTACACTTGGTAGGTGCTTTGCTAGGATTAAGTCACAGATGGTGTTGATTTTTCATTTGAACTCAAATTTTGCTGCAAACTGTTCACTAAACATACATTGCATAAAAAATACTACCTAATGCATAATTTGTGGTGGGTTCTCTGGAATAACCATCACAGCATTCCATTACGGAACAAATACTAATATAACTGCTTTAAGCTCATCGTTTTGGCTCCAAACTAAATCTTAATGAGATCAGCTCAGTAATATATTGCTATTCTGATAACATACAAGCTTAAAGTTTCCTCCTTGCTATCTGTTAGCTTTCATAAAGTAACAGGCCAAAGACGAACAACTAATAAAATCTGAAATAATCTATTTTTGTGTTTTGTATGGCAATAAATGGATAGTAGAACAGTAAATATGCTTAGGTTGATGGTTGGTTTGTTTGGTTTTGCTTACTATTATTTATTATTTCCTGACTTAACCGAGAGAAATAACTGCCTCAGTAGCATCACTGGCCAGTGCATTCATGCTTTTATTTTCAGTCTTTCATAATTAAATTCTTATGCCAATTAATAGTATCTGTAGTTCATACCTACTTTTGAATGGAATATTTCAATGAAGTGGAAGGAAATGAGCATAGTTCTACGTGAACCTTGCAGTGGTCTAGTATCATATATATACATTCTTAAAAGCTTGCTTGGAGGCTATTGCACTGTTGAAAAGGGCTATGCATTGATTTTTGTCCTCTGATTGCTTTTTGTTTCACAGAGACATGTTTCCAGAGCAGAAGGGCCTTGTACTGGAGTCAGCGATGCTGATAAGGTTCTACTGATTTTTTTTCCCTGGTTTAATTTGGCTCTAATTCTTCCAATCCATCTTCATTCTTTCTTTCCTTCCTTTTCCAGTTAACCATCACAACCATCTGTCTCCTATATGACACGAAACAGCCATCAGCTAATTTTTTTTACATCATTTTAATTTATTCATATACCCTACTTTTGTTTTTCCTCATCCATGTTTTTTGTGCAGAGTTCACATGAGACTCTTGACATAGTGGAGGAGAAGAAGCAGGCAGAGGTTGGGATAGAAGAAATAATACTCATAGACGAAACCAACAAAGGGAAAATGCAAGTTGCCACTGAAGCTGGGGAAACATGTAAGGTGGAGCAGCTGTCAAAAAAGGACTCTTCCTCATTGCCGTCAGATAGTAGCAGCAGCAGCAGTAGTAGTGAGAGTGAGGATGAAGAGGTGGGAGAATACCATCCACATCATAGGGCAATTGAGGAAGTCATCAGGGAAGAACAGGAAGAAGAGGAAGACATGAGGAGGAAAGAACATGAAGAAAAAATACAGCATGTGGAAGCCACACCAGAAAGCAGTAAACTAAATGTACCAGTTGAGCATACACAAGTTACAGCTGAAGATTTGGTCCAGGAAAATGCAGTTACCATAGCTACAGAGGAGAAGATTTTGTCAGAGGAAATTAAGCAAGATTTAGGTGAAGAAAAAGAGGAAGAACAGCTCAAACTCAATGGAGATGTGTCTCATGTTGACATTGATGTTGCACCACAAATAATTTGTTGTTCTGAGGTAAATGGTAGAACAGTTTGACAACTAGATTAAGCAGAGATATTTCTTGGGGTGAAAATATACCAGCCTTTCTTCTTCTCCTATTCCTCCAGCTCTTCAGGCATCCAACAAGATTCAGATCATTTGGAAGGGGAAACCACTGATGAGCAGTGAAATTCTGTCTCCTTCAGTTATGGTTTCTGACTTTTTGCTAGAACTGAGTGAGAACCACCAGTAAGGCAAACCTTCCGAAGACTGACATCTCCTTTTTACACCCCCTTATTTTATATTAACAAACATAATGTATTATTTACATGTTTCCGATGTTATAAGTCTTGTCTTGTCTATTTGTCAATTGTTTTTGACACGTCCATGACATGTAATTGTGATTGGAAAGCAACTGAAATTAGAAAACACACGACAAATTTTTGTTCCTTTTTTTCCCCCTCATTACTCACTGCTTTTCTTGCCACCCCCCTCCTCCCCCCCCCAAAAAAACCTTTTTTTTCCCCCCCTGTTAAAAAATGTTACGGATTTATAGACTAGAGTATAGCTAGAAACTGCATAGGTGAGAGGACCACATTGTAAAGCAATGAGGCATATATCACAATCTTTCGATGAAGTCGTCTAGTGCAGTAGATACTTAGAGAAGCATGCACGGGTTCCAGTCACAGTCAGTTATTTTAAGCCAAACAAATGTTACTGGGGTTGTTACCGGGCAAACTGTATAAAGAAGCAGAAGGGGGAAAAATGAAGCACAGGAATGCATTTCTTTGTAAAGTTGGCATGATGTGCTGCTGAGTTTTTCAACAGCTCTGTGGGTTTTTCTTAGTTACTGACTTGTGTATTGTTGTAATGGTGGAAACTGTTACTTTTTTTCTTTACACTAAATTTCCAAACTACTTACCTTGTTTCTTTTGTAGTCCTTAGCACACACAGGTGCTTTTGAAGTTGCAGGCACCCACACTTCCTAAAACCATAGCTAGTTTGAAGGAACAGGAAAGGGCTGCTGTGTGTGCATGTGTGTGTGAGGGAAACAAAGGAATTAATTATTTTCTTTTTCCTGGGATTCCCCCCCTGTGCATCCAGAATCAGTGCGAGATAGCAACTGATGCATCTAGCAAAATAGCAAATGGCTTTACTAGATTTTTTTAAAGTTCTTAAGTATACTGAAAATCTGCTTCAGTAAGATAAGTCACAAGTTCACTGGCTTGTAGGCCCCTGGTTAATTGCTTTCTTTGTGATACTGCAGAGAACACCACTGGTTAAAATGGCTTTTTAGGATTATTGTCAAAAGAAGCCATTGATTTCCAGAATTATGTTGAATGTAGACTGCTTAAAATCCGGTTGTCACAAGTAGTACATGTTTAAAAGTTAAACTTTTATATAATTTCGTTGGAATTCCTAGTCCTTACCTGCAGTGAAGGAGTAATGATAGGTATTTTCCCAGATGAAGTCTAGTGTGAAGCTTATCCATCTGAGGTAGCTATCAGCTTCTTTATGCAAACTAAAGTTTTCTGGGTTTTTTTTGTAGTGATACACTTCTACACATTTTCCCATAACTGTGTTGCAGCTTGGTTTTAGCAGTTGCTTTGTGGTATGTATGAAACAGAACATTGGCAACGTTACTAGGACGTGAAAATTTACTACCACGATATGTAGATATTAGAGGGCTGGTTTATTAGTCTTCATTTCACTTTGCTTATTGCATGCTTTTTGATTCTGAAGACAGTCAAATATTTATCTTACTGTTACAATTTCCTTGAATTTGTGGTTGTGTTTTCTTGGTCCACTTTGCAAACCTTCTGTCTTCTGAATTGGTTGGTTATTTCTTGCACCACAGCCTCCAGTAGTGAAAACAGAGATGGTAACCATTTCAGATGCCACACAGAGAACTGAAATCTCCACTAAAGAAGTTCCAATTGTTCAAACAGAAACTAAAACTATCACGTATGAATCTCCACAGGTATGGTGGCTGGGTTATTATATTGTTTGCAGGCTGTTTTTTATTCTAGTTACTTGTAGATCAGAATAGATAATGTCCAAAAAGAGCTTTTCAAAAACCTTTACTTTTTTTCTAGCAGCTAAAATTGTACTTTGGCTATGAATTAGGTAAGTGAAATGTTTCTAGACAAAGCAGTATTACTTCTGAAGTTCTAAGTGGTTGTTTCATTGGCTTTGGGGATTTTTTTTAATATAAGGACTTTATTGCAGAAATAAATGTGTAACTTATTTTTAGTTTTGGAAACTTGGTTAAAATACCTTCTTGCTCCTGAAAGGAACAAGTAACTTTGTTCATAAATTTTCTGCAAGAATGAATGGTAACAATAGTGTTACATGACTCTGTAAACTTGGATGGCTTCTATTTAGACTTCAGTTCTGACTGAACTAAAGAATGTGTTTCTTAAGAAGACCAGCTTCTTTTTTTTTGTGAAAACAAAAAATACCTTTTTTTTTTAATTGTTTATTTTTTTTCTTCCTTCTTACAGTTTGACGGCAGTGCCGGTGGCAATGCTGGTGTGCTGCTGAGTGCACAGACAATTACATCAGAGTCAATTTCTACTACCACAACAACACACATCACAAAGGTAAAATATAATCACATTTCTCTGAACTGAAAAAAAAAAAGCCCAAACCCTCCAAATGAAGTCTTACATGAAGTGAGACAAAACAAGCACACTCCGCTAATTTATATGAAGAAAGTTGAGTTGAAATGGATTGGAGTCATTCTAGGCATGTGTTGAGTTAATTTTCCTGTACAAAGATTATTAACAGAAGAGCCCTAATGCACAAGCTGGAATATCTGGGAACAGGACAGGGAAAGGGAAAAAGATATGATTAGGTTTATAGTATTTAATATAGGTCTTATTTCTGTGTTTGACAAATTAGTATGTACATGAATTTTATGGTTCCAGTCCTGTCATCACTCGCTAATAACTTAGAGAATCATTGTTAATGTAACTGATTTGCCTGAGGTCCACAGGAGCCCTGCTGGTGGCATCAGTTATAAGAATGAACTGAAACAATGTTTTCTCAGCTTTTGTGTTGATCCTTGTCCTGCTAGGTTTAGAGCATATTTAAAAACAGATCATGCCACTAGGTTAATCTGCATATTTTGGTACTGAATTATGTACTCTGCATTCCATGCTTGAAAGGGAAAGGAAAACTCGATGTTAATAGAATGTTACATCTGTTCCAGTCTTGTGTAATGTTTATGCCAAAGTATGCTGGAACTAACAAAGTGTGATGATGATGATGGTTATTGTAATTATTTATGTAAATATCAAATTTTAGGTGTGCCCCAATAACACAGTTTTGAATTCTTGTCTTTGAATTCTTCACATAGTTTTCCAAGAAAATTTCAGAAAGCATTGTTAAGGTAAAGCAAAAGGGAAGAGAGAGATGTAAGGTGGGCTTTTTTATTCCCCCCAAGACAAGAATTTTCACATCATCACAGAATGGAACAGTAATTCACTGCTTACTGGATATATATTGAATTTTAAATATTTTTAAGATTGAAAATTGTTTTCACAGAATGACAGTGGAAAGATTATTTTGAAAAGTTGTCAGATAAAATCACATGAAATAAAGTAAGCTCAGAATTTAAAGTGTATGGTTTGTTATACAGACAAGTCAACAGGTCCTTTTCAGTCTCAAAGCCCTTTTGGGGGAAGTGTACATTTGCTTGTCAAGCTCAGATGTCAAATAACACTGCTTTTTAGAAGGAACCATTAAAGAAAATGTTTTTGGTTTAGTCTTCTACTAAAAAATGACTAGGATTGCCATAATGCAGCAGATCCTTGTCTTTTCATACTGACTGTTTATCACCGATTTAAAAGACTGAATTTTCGAATCTAACTTTGTATTTTACAACAAAACTGTTCATTACTGATAAAGGGACCTGCCAAAATAGTTTTAATATTCTAATGGTGTTCTTAACAAAGTCATCTTAGACCTTTTCTAATATGGTTAGTGTATCTTATGTACTACTTTATTCTTTCCTTTAATAGAGGCTGATTTAAAAAAAAGCACATAATGCTGTTTCTGTGAGAATTTTTCTGTAAGCTAAAATGATTTGATCATTAGAGTAAGAAGGAAAGCACAAAATTATTCCCATCAATGTGAAATACGTTGAAAATATCTCACTAAGGTCTGTGAGTGGCAGACCTGAAAACCAGACCATCTTTGTATTTAATGGCATAGTTTTCTTCAGAAACTGAGAAATGGCCCATTGTTGAAATCAAATGGAAGACTCATGGAATTTCCTGGTTGCTAGATTTATAGGGTGGAAGAGGCTTGAATTCCAGTTTGTCTGCATGTCTAGATCTGTTCAAACTTGGCTTCCAGTAACAGAAGGAATTCTCTATTGCTTTTTTATTAACAAGTTTAGCAATAGCTTGAATGTGACTTACTGTGTAACTGAAAAAGAAAGGATATTTTAGCACCGATAAAATTGACTAGTAATTGGAACTCAGTCACAGAAATCTTGTTTGCTTCAGTGCAGAGAAGGGAGTGCTTTGTGGTGGTGTGGAATAATTACAGGGATGTTTTCTTCCTTCCCCCCCCCCGTAGATGGTAAAAGGTGGGGTATCAGAAACAAGAATTGAGAAGCGCATTGTCATTACTGGAGACGCAGATATTGACCATGATGAGGTAAGCATGTAAGCTGTTATCACAGTGTACTTTGTGCAGTCCAGTGAGATCTACACAGTATTTCAGAACCTGAAAATCGGAAGAAGAAGTTGAATAAGAGGGCATAGAAAGACCTTGAGGCTGTTAATTGTGGCAAAGTTGTTGAAACAGTCATGTTTTGTGAATAAAGAGCCTGTAGAATATAACTGAAAGAAGAACAGCATTAGTAATACTGAATCATAGATCATGTGAATGGATTTCTTACTATTTTTAAAGGGATTTTTTTTTTGGAAGAGACTCGCTTTTTTTAGTGCTGCTTTTGCCACTTGGGAGGAAAAGCATTACTAAAATAATCTTATTTGATACATTAATCTTCATAGATGGGAGTCTTTGTTGTGTGAGCAACATCTGAATGCAGGACTCATTTTGACTGAAAGCTTTGAAATACATAAAACCATAAACTGTTTGAATTTCAAAAATAGGGTTTGTCTTGTATTTATAGAATTATGTATAACAAAAGTAATTGTTGATCTGATGGAATCTTATGTAAGTACCTTTCATCTCTATTAGTACTAAAGCAGTATTTTACTAAGTCTTAGAAACTAAGATTAAAATCAGTTCTACCTGCCCAAATAAGAAGGCTGAATTTAAGCAGTAAGCAAGACATTAATTGAGAAAGTGGAGTTACCTGTTCTTTGTAGTGATAACTACACAATCTTTATTGTTTGTTATCAGAGAACCTATAGTAACAAAGTTGATCACAGGCACTGGATAATGCAAATGGAAAAGCCTACCTTCTACATAAAGTTGCAGTGAATCCAATTCTAACTTCATGGAAGCTACACAAATCAACATAACAGGATTTAATTGAACTTCTTAATTGCAATATACTGAGAGCTTGGGGAATTTAATTTCACGCTTTGATTTGCCTCCAGAAAGTGGCTCTTGACAAGCTGAATCTCTTGAAGCTCATAATTGAATGACAGGGCTGTTCAGCATCAGGCATGGCTCTTGTTTGCCTTGACACATGCTCAGTGCACTTCAGACGTCTGGAAAGGTCACACAGTATCTTTAATATACCAGACAATTCTCTAAGGCCCTCTTTGTTTTGAGATAAGTGGGTAATGAAGTAAAAAATTAAATAATAAGAAAGGAAGTGTAAAGTACAATCACTGAAGCTGAAAGCAGCCATGAGCAGCTTTTAACAGATTTATGAAATACCTACCACTTTTTCTTCAGTGGATATGGAGCTCTTTAAATGCACAAACTACATGCTGAATGTTTATTCTTATGTCTTTAAGTTCTCTACATCACTAAACCAATTTTCAATAGGAAAATATTATTTTAATTTGAAGTTTCTGAATACAAATGCTTGTATTAGTTGTTGTAATTTAACAATTAGAGATTTAAGGCTTTTTCATTGTTTATGGTTTGATTATAAACAGTGATTCTTAAATCTCAACACCCGCTTTCTTTTCAATCCTCATTTATATTACAGAGATTACACTTGACGTGTTTCAAAAGGTAAACTAATAAAAAACTGTTAGGATTAATATATCAGCAAACGTCAGTATTGTTCCAAATGGACACTGTGTTCTTCTGTACGTATTTCCTTAATAGGACTTCAGATCCATTATCATGTAATAAAGGTGGCTAATGCTGGTGTTTCCAATCTCTTTTCAGAGTTACTTATTTCTCTCCCACTTACAACCTATGGCTCAGGAAATTGCCACTTTTAAAAATCAAGATAAACCTTCAAGATAAACCTTTTTGTTACATTATATATTTTTTTGCTCCTTTTAGTATATTCAGGTTTTCTTCCAGTTGAGGTTGATACTAAGGTGAACAGTGATCTTACTGTTGCTTTGGAATGCCTTCCTTCTAAAAATGTGGAAGAGGGATTATAAGAAACTGAGTAATAACTACATTTGCACTTATTATTTACTCTTATTTTTCTGTACTGTGTGCATTCTTGTTAAGTCTTTATTTGTTAGGTCTGTTGCAGATGTTAAAAAAATTCTAGGATATAAGAATACTTTTTGTCTCCTGAGATGAGCTAGAAAAGTTACAGGATAATTTTATAGTTATTTGTTACTGCCTTGAAAATTTGGTAAATTTTTAGCATAGTAGTCTGGCTTTTTTGGTTTTGTTTTGTGCTTTGGCAGTTGGTTGGTTTTGATTTTTTTGTGGTTTTGTTTTTGGCTTATTTGTTTTGTTGAGTTTTCCGGTTTTGGTTTGTTTTTTACCCCTGAGACCTCTGAAGTTAGGAATTTAGAATGCTGAACAATTATAACCATTATAACCAAAATTTCCTATGCTGCTACTCCCATTCTCTGTCCCCACATGAATGTCCTTTTGCTGCTGTTGTTACATATTTCAAATACATTTGCAGGCCCTGGCACAGGCAATCAAAGAAGCCAAAGAACAGCACCCTGACATGTCTGTTACAAGAGTGGTGGTGCACAAAGAAACTGAACTTGCTGAGGAAGACGAAGAGTAAAAGCAAATACTTCAGGTACACTTATGTATGTAACGAATATAGAAAAATGCAGCATCAGTTTTCTGTTGTGTTCTGTGATAAAAGGCTTGAAAAATATAAGGCATCTTTAATATACGCTAGCACAAAATGGTGAGTTGAGACAGGTTCTAATAGTAGACTGTTAATGTAAGACTTTTATTGTAAATCCAATGTGTTTAACTGTACAATTCCAGTCCCTTCCTTACATCTTGCATTTAGTGAGAAGATTACATGCAGTTCACCAGTAGTGAAAGGGCACACTTGGCCACTTTGTCAGCTAATTCTTAATCCTCAACACACTGAAATATTTAAACTTTTATCATTTCCTTAGGCAAGGAGGTAAATGTATTGCAAATTCAAGTTTGACAGTCTCTTATCAGTTGAGCTATTTGAAGGAGTATCAGTTTTAGGCCCTCATTTCTAGGAATAAAAACCAACAAAAAACTCCAAAAAAACCCCCCAAACCCAACAATAAAAGAAACATAAAACCCCCCAAACAAACCAAAAACCCCATAAACCCCACAACCCTGCTTTATCTGATATGTTCAATAGAAAAATCAGAATGAACACCGAAGAAATCTGCTATTGCACTGGTGATAGGCTAATGACTTAAACTCAGTAACTGCTTGCATATAAAAAGCTTCAAATTTCCTTTGCTTTTTGCACTGGTTAATGTCACGAAACTGCAGCTTCAGATTTTTCAGACTTGGTGGGTTTGTTAATTGTAGACTCAGCTTCAAGGAAAAGGTTTAATTTTGAAGGATTACATAAAAATGAGAGAGATTTTAAAAAGCAGTGTTTTAAGCCTTCATTGAGACACTGTTTCTACTGATGAGTCTGTGTATTTGCTAGAAGAGCAGCGGTGTTATCTGTCACAAACATCAACCTGCAGCTTCAGGAGACTTCTAGATATCATGAGCACTATTCATGAAGTGCCATGAATATATGAAAAATGAGACACTGACTTGATTCCAAATTTTATGTAAGCTACTATAAAGAGAGGAGGATGTATTTCATATTATCCTGGTAATTTATGTTGAGAAGACCAGTTTTATTTCTATGCCCAGGTTTCCAAAGGGCTGACAATTTCACTATTGAGTATCAGTTCTGCGATCCAGAGGAGAAAAGAGGCAAGCATCAGTTTGAGAGGATTAAGTGTACCTTCTGAATCTTGCTCTATGAAAGGTGACCATTATCAAGGAATCTGAGTCTTCCTGAACTCTAGTTATTGATCATAGTGGGGTGTTTTTTCAGCTGAAAGACATAGGCTAAAGCCTTGGTTTATTTCATCTATCCACAAGTGTCTTGCTTTTCTTTAGCAGCTGGATATGAATGGAGGGCCTATGTGGCTGAGGAAAGGAGAGCTAATACACATTGCCAACTATTGACATGTATATGACCAGTTAAAGACTTGTGTGTTGTGTGGTACTGGGGAGAGAGGTTTTTTGCCTTTAGTTTAGGTTGTTTTATTGGTCTCTTGATACACAGCAACATTAAAATGTGCACACTGAATCCATCCTTCTCACGGTTTCAGCGTTTACGTAGCAGAATCTAAGGTAGAAAGGTGCTCTAAAACAGCAGAAGTGATCATTTGGATTTGCAAGCATTTGCAGTTGTGATATGTGCTATCATGACATTCTTCATTTATAATTAATCAGTGCGAATTTAAAGGTCTTGGGAGTAGGGTTTGCCTCTTCTGTTATATTTGTGCAGAATGTGCCAGTTTCTTCATGCTACCTTAATCCAGAAAAGTATCTTTCAGATAGGTGTCCAACATAATCTATTCCATATATATCCCATAACAACACCTTTCTATGTCATGGGAGGAAGAAACCATTTTGGCAGATTTGCACCACGTTTCTACATTAGTGACCAGCTGCAAAATTGATTCTGTTCCTTCATCAGATATTTAACTAATTTGTAAAAATTTTATTCAGGACAAAAAAAACTTCAAAGAATTCCTTCCGTCTGCTGAGGGTGTTTTGGGAAGGTTTTGGTATTTTTTTTTTCAAGATATATGTATGTTGTAGAATGGTGTTTGCAATGTATCTGAGAGTGTCAGATGCTTGTGTCTGAGTTTGCCAGTTGCTTTACAGCTCTTGGCCTGAAATGCTTGTGAGAAAATAAAAGAGGTGTAATGAAGACATTTCTCCATGCTGCTTTTGTATTTGAGACCTGGTGGCTTGTTAGACTGATGATGCCTTTCACTTAATGAATTAGTTTATCTCGTGGTTGGAGGGGGCTTCAGTTAATGCAACTTTTTTTTTTATTTATTTATTTTTTGGGTTTTTTTATGAAATAACCTTCTGTGGAAACAATGACTTTTTGACTCAGATAATTGGACATTCACGTAATATCTGTTACAACTGCTTATGTAATATTCTCCCTCCTTTTTCTTCCAGAAGTAGAAATGATACTGACAGTGATCATGACCATGAAGAACTGTAACCATTCCAAGTCACTACTACTCTACTGAATTCACCAAGCCTAGCAATGATGACCAGATGCTTAAGACTTAAATGCCAATACCAAACTTCATTTTTAACATCTTTGGTCTATATTCCCTTAAAATCTTTCTTGTTTATTTTTATAACCACTTCTTAGCAATCTTAGATTTTATTTTTTTTTTAATGAAGTTTTATAGGGTATGATCTTCTTTTTCACAAATACTGGTATTTTTGAAGCTTATTCTTAATTATATGAAAGTGAACAAAAAAGTCTGGCAAGCATCGTTCACTGGAGCAGGTGGTAATTGTGCAGGAAGAGTGATCTTTACTAATTCGGATGTAGTTTTTTCCAAATACTTCAAGTGAAATCTTTTACTGAAGTAATTTACAGATTATCTTTTTTTTTTCTTTGAGATTATTCAGGTAAATATATGGTATCAAATAACAAAGATTTTTATAAAAATACATTTCCTAAAATTTGAAAAAATGTATTTCTTTGGATAAACTTTATATTGATTATTTCTGTAACTCTTCCTGTTTGAAGGTTCTCTCTGTGGAGCAGAGATGGTGTGGCAGTCTGTAGAGGAGAAGGAGTTGCAGCTACATTTCTTCTGACTGAGCACTGTGTTCTTTTTGCACTCTGGTGCCAATGCTCAACTTTTTGCAGCCATTTTGCTGTCTGCAGCATTCCAGATAAGGAAAGAAGGAAGACAAAATCTTTTCTTTTTTCCAACAAGAGATGATCTAGGCAGCTTAAAACCTTAGCGCTTTTTTCTTACTGTGTCTCGATTCAGCACTTCCATTATTTGAATACATGTTTAGAATGCTTGCTTTCTATTAAACCTCACTGTCTCCATGTTAGAACTGACATTTCTGCTATTGAGAAGATATGCATTTCAGATGCTTTGTCTAATGGTTAATGCAGGTTTTTAGGATACTGAGTAAAAGCATACAATGGGCTCCATCCATAAAATAATAAGACAGTACCATCATTTGAGACTGCCATTGAGGAAACCTGTTAATTATTTTGGATTTTATTTTTATGTTGTTCTTGCAGGGGGGTTGTTTGGTTTAGGTTTGTTTGGGAGTGATTTTTTTTTTGTTTTGGTTTTTTTTTCTGTCAACTCTGTGTATAGTTAAAATGCCGAATTAGATTTATAGCAGCTTGAAGTTGTATTAAGTGATATTTTGCTTTCTCTAATTCTGTTATAAAATAAAGTTGTTTATTCTCTGTATGATATCTGACATTCTGACATAAACTTGAAAGATACTTAAAGTGAGCAAGTTAGTTATGAGAACTGGAATTCTAGAGGCCACAAAACCTTGAAAAGCAGGGATTAGTACAAGTAGCCTCCAGGGTTTCCAGAAGGGTGGCACGATTACCTGGCTCTTCAAACTGGTACTAAGATATCAGCGAATTTTAGACATCTTCCAAAAAGCGTCCTGGTTTCTGTGGTTCAGAGAGAAAATACATGCCAAAACAGATGAGGTTTGGACAGCACAACGCAAGTTCAAATGCCTCTCAGTCTGCAAGTGGTTTTACTGAGTTCATTGAGTTAGGATGTACTGTGAGGTTCAAGTAGCAAAACAAATCATGTAATACTTCTCAGTATGTTCTTTTTCACTTCGAGCAATGTATTTTGGTGCTGTTGTCACTTTAGATTGCTGCCATGTGCTAGCATGCTAGCTTAACAGAAATTTATGTTAGTTTTGGCTTTGTATAATTTGGATAACATAAAACAGCAGTAACCAAGATGTTGATTTCTATATTCATATAGGCATTCTCAGTTACATCCCACATTACACAGAAAAATAGTAGCAGATAACAATCTTACCTGCCTTTCTTCAGAAACAGAGACATTCTGCCTTCAAAAAGGGAAATAGGACTCCCTCCAGACTAATGACATAAGAATACTGACACCCGTGGAAACAGGAGAACTTGTGCACTGAGCATGAGTAGGGAGGTTGCCAAAGAAGTTGCACGTTTTGGATATGTAAGTGGAGGTCAAAATGGAGTGGAGGTCAACATGCGTTTAGTGGGATGTCTTAATAGATTTTTCATACAAAAGTGTCTAAGAAAAAGCTCTATAATTTTTTTCAGGTATTTTTGATACAGCATAATATTAGTTGCAGAACTCATTTGAGGGGAGGAAAGCGTGTTACTTCAAACTCTTACTGATTTAGATCTTTCTGATTTGTTAAGACACTAGATCAATATTGGGTTCTATTGCAATTGTATTTAATTATTAAAAGTGCAAATACAATATTCTTGAAAGCAATATTACTTTCACTGAAAGCTGTATTTCTTCAAAAACTAATCAGAACCTTTTGTCAGGGAAAAATTAATGGGGCTTTCAGGTCAGCATATTTTGTGCATACCTATCCCTTCCATTGGTTAAACATGTACTAATTAAACAACCACTGTCACACAGAAAGACGTAAGCCTCGAGTGTGATCTAACCTAAAAATAGTCAAGTTTTACAGGTTCTGGTTGTATGTAATTGTTCAAGTGTTCTGGAATATTGGGCAATTAATGAGTTTTCATCATTACTTCTTTTATGTATCTGTAGCAAAAACTGTAACAGGCAACAAATGAAATTGTTTCCAAGGCACTTTGCAAGCTGGTTTTATAATACGTAAGTAAGTTCAAATACAATTACAGGCCAATTTAATGAGAAGGCATTTCAGTAATTCTGCTTAAACACTTAGTTAGTCTTGTAGGTCCTACATAGAAATACTTAACAAATCTTATTAATCATGGCGACCTAAGGGTTCATAATAAATGTTGGAATTGCTTTACAGATTGTTTTCTAGATTTAGATTTCATAAAGGGCAAGCAAGCAAGTTTGGTAACAGACTGGTAAAAAAAAAAAAAAGATCTATTGTTCAAAGTGCTGAGCAACCACAATACAAAGTGTCTCAAAGTATTCTTCTATTTGACAACTCAAGCTGAATGGCAACTTTCATTACAAATCAAATAGATGGAATAAATAAATTAAATACTATGGCACGGGTCAGAGTTTGAGATGTGATAGTGATCAGAATGACAACTAACTACTTTTGGCCAGTATGCAGTGGGAGATTCTCAGCTTTTAGGCACATTTGCCATGGAAGTGGTCTTCTTGTAACAGCTGCTATCCCATACTGTTGACCTGACTACACCTCTGGAAGGCTGGAAACCATTTTGATTTTCAGGCTGCTTAGTTGTTTGGGGTTTGTATACCACACTTGAAAAAAGATACTTGGATTAGTGATATTAGTACAAATTACAAGCATTAGAAATCAGGTTTATATGAATGGCTGTACTGGGCTAGGCTAAATGACTTAACACTCCCAAATTCCGATCTCTGAGGCTGCTATTGGTGGTTGCCTAGGGGTGTGTGTATAAATTAAGTATTGTACTAGCAAGTACTACTTTCCCAAATACTCTCCCAGCAATTTTCAAAGACTTACTGTTCTGTCAGTCTTTCATACTTATCTGCTTCTCTGGATTTCTGGCTAATTGCTTTTTAAAAAATTCCTCTGTCAGGCATTTTCACCATTCCATGTGTGTTAAGAAGAAAAAAACCCACCTTTCATTTCTCTTCAACCTGCTGGCTTCATTTGATAGCACCAATGCAGATACTAGAAGAGACACCTAGCAGTCATTCTCTTCAGGCATTCCCCAGCCAAAAGCTATTCCACAATTCTTTATCGTTCATAGCACCTTTCCTGTATATTTCCTACTTGAATGTCGAGACTTTAAATTCTGGTTTGGGAAGCGGAGAGGTAGCAATCACAGATAGACGAGGGGGTTTTAAACATGCTTACATGTTGTAGGTAGAGCGGAATCAGTTTCACATTATTGCTAGTGACAGGAAGACAGAGGTCTTCTTGGTGATAACAAAAATTGAAGGCAAGTTATTGTCTTGCAATCACTGTTTTCATATATCTTTAGAGAATGCTTTTATAATTTATCTAGACAAAGACTTAGTTCTATGGTGTTACTGAAATATATTCTTACTTTTTGAAGAAAAACCATGTTAAATTTCTCTATTAGCAGTCATTCTGCTCAACAAAATAAATTTTATGTTGTGGTAAGGCTCGATGAACTTCAATTCTATATCTTTACATGTGGTTCAGACTAGTATTTGCTTGGTGAATGGGTGCGTGGGATAGGGGGGTAGGATGGGTAAGGGTGTTAAGTTTCATTTAACATTTCCTTTTATATTTCCTGATCAGTGTCCAAGATCACTGATTTTTCTAATGGCAGCATCTTTCTTAAATGTAAAATGTCAGTAAATGTAAAATGTCAGTAAATGTAAAATGACAGCACCTCTCTCAAATTCCCTGCAAGGAATTGTATAGATTAATAGTTAATGAAACCAGAGGAAAGGATATATTACAGAGTTTTTAAAGGTTTTATTTAAAGATACCAATATCATTGAAGTTTATGTACTCAGGTAAACAATAGTTTCACTGCTGTGGCTGAAGAACGCACTGTTTTTAAAAGCTGCTGGTCTTCTTAAAGCAAAAATTTGTCATCGAAGGATTATGTAGGAAAACAAGAATTGTTCTGCAGCACAGGTTACTAAATCACTTGGCAGTATGTGCATGTTGCAAGGACCTATTCTAGTTGAGGAACATATTCCTTCTAGGGAATATTCTTTTTAGGAATTCTTTCTAGGGACATATTCCTTCTGAGGAATACGTCAGACTCTTAAATAGCAAATGATGAAATAACATACCTCTGGAGAGGTACAAAGAAGAGACATGGCAGGAGGCCAGCAGGTCAGACTCATCCGTTCTGTACCATGGGTTTTCTAGCTGAGGCAGCTGTAAGCAGAGGTGGATCATTAGAATCACGCTTTCAGATCTCTCTCCTTAGACATCATGTTATACCTGGTTTTAGCTTTTGGTTCTCTACTAGCTGTGGTGTTTGATCTTCAACATCACAGCCAAACAGGAAGGAAAATTGACACTGAAGAAACTGTGGAAACAGGAGAACAGACCTCTGCCTTTACATTCATGTCTGGATGTACTACGTGTAAAGAAAGCATGTGCTGCTTTGAGCTGTGTCGTATTAGGCCTGCCAGGCAATGTAAAAGTCCAGGTAAGAGAGGAGCTCAGGAAGGATGCACTTCTTGGTATCCTGAGTAGCTATGCACGTAAGGTTCACTCAACAGCTGGGTGATAGGGAGCTACTGTGATTTTCTATTTGAGAGCTGCTTTTGGAATACTTCTTTACTTTTGCTCTCTGAAACAGATCATGTTTGTTGCTAGTCAAATGAAATTCCTGGTGTGAAGTTTAAGAACCAAAGGACTGCACGCTTTTCTCTTAGTGGGAAGAACAAGTCTATATGAAGAGTAAAATCAGAAGAAAAGTGTCTTCAGCCTTTTGAATGTGAAATACTGGGTAAGAACTTCTGGCATAATCACAGGTGGAGCATCCTGAAACACACAGAGAACCTCTTAATGGGCATCCAAGTGAACTGCCAGATGAAGGTGGGGAGAGCTCTGACTGAATTGCAGATTCCTGTGCCAGCTGACTGAGATAAACTTGGTTTTACTGTCTTTGCTCTTCCAGGTTTTGCTGTGGTTCTGTTGCAGGGGTGCTTCCCTTGAAGTCAAAGTCCATACATCTATCTTGTGTTCAAGTTTTGCTGTTCAAGTTAACTCTGTGACTTCTGAATAACGTTTCTTTCCACCCAGCATCTTCTGTTGATTTCAAATGGAATTACAAAGCACTTTGCACTTTCAAACAGGTAATTCTTCTGGGAACCTAAATAGAGACTAGTAGATCTAATTAGAGGTACTTGCATTTAAGCATCCTACCTTTTATCAAGTACCTTTTTCCAAGTAACAGCTGGCTCTTCACCTGATCAATGCAATGTATTCTGTGTTACTTGCACACATGTAAACCAGTGTTATGACTTACATATTTTTAAAAATAAGGTAGTATTAGAATGTGATAGAGGACTGGTACATATAGTAAAGGTACTTGCTGTTTGACTCCTGTCTTCTTACAGACTTTGATAAATTACAGTATTTCTTAAACCTGTGGTCATGGTCTCATTAGTGTTTTTAATCAAATTTAAGTCAGAGGAGTTCTTAAGTCTATGAGAACCAAAACTGTGCAAAACCACATATAATCTCAGACAAGGCATTATCCTCTTGTTCTTGCAGGGTGAGTAATGACAAACAGCTGTAATGGAAGGTAATTGAAGACAGCAGTTGCTAGCAGGTAGGGACAGTA